AAAATAAAAATTAAAAAAAATATTATTATTATATTTATATTTATAACTTATAACAAACTTATTGTTAAGATATTAAAGAACTTACAGTATATATAAAGTTTTATATAATTTGATCTATTAATTATTAAATTATAAATAATTATATAATTCTGGTTTTTTTTGCACTATACTGTATATTAATAAGATTATTAAAACTTTTTAAAAGAAAAGAAACTAATAAATAAGAAAAAAAAATTTATTTAAGAAATATATTTATTATCTTTAAGTTTTAGTAAAAAAATTCAACTAATCAAATAACAAAAATAAAAAAAAAAAATTTATAAAAAATTTAAAAAAATTTTCTAAAACAAGATCAAAAAAAAGAAATATAATTAGAAATATAAAATATAATGGATATTTTAATAAACAAACTATAATAATATTTATTACTGAAATTATATTTAAAAATAATACTTATTTAAGACTGATATTCAAATATTATATTTAAAAATTTATATATAAAAGTAACTAAGCTATTATTTATTCTGTATAAATTTTACAAATACTTGCTTAATTATGAAATATATATACTGTATATATATACTGTATATTTATTTATTTAATTTAAGAAAAAATTTTATAAATTCTAAAAAAGTTATATAAACAATCTTTTTAATTTTTAAAATAATAAATAAATAATAAATAAATAACAATTAAATAATAAAGTTCCGTGTTCAATGCCTATTCACAATACAAAAAAAAAAAAAATAATTATTAATCATCAAAATGTTTTGAATATATTTGTTTGTAAGTTATTTTTACAATATGTACGTAATATTTATTTATTTTTTTTTTAATCTATTTTTTTTTATTATACTATTTCAATGATTTTTTTAATTAATCATTAATAATGAAAGATACAATTGGTTTATTATTAAAGTAGGCGTAATTACCTAATCATGGAGTGACAAAAATTCTTGTTTTGTGAGGTTAAACTTTTAACCAAAAACGGTACATGAATACTGAGTCAGATGAATAAGATCTCAAGAATGCTTATAAAATATATCTTTGTACACTGGTGTTACTATCAAAACTCTATCTCATCATATATATAATAAGACATTTGTTATACATAAAATAAGTTAAATAGGTTTCTAATTCCATTCATTTTCCAATCGACACATCTTCCTTTCAACTATTAATTATGAATAACGAATCAGAGTATTTTGACGACTCTATTCAACTTGCCGGAAATCCAACACATCATTTATCTACCGCAACGGCTCAGATGAATACCTTGTCCTCAGATCATTTTTCTTCCGCGTCTTTCAACCTTCTTAGCAATGACGGAACATTGTATGCCTTTCAAAAAAACATATCAATGTTTTCAATAGCACTTGGGTTATTTTAAATTGGGAATTTTTATTTATTATACTTAGGGGAGGTAACTCTTCTGTCTCCGGAAACCAGGAAATCTCTCAGAAAGGTGACCAGCAACCTTACATCCAACAGTCAGCATATAACATGACCAACATCTCGTCTTCCCATGATCCTTTATTTAATCTGGGAGTTGTAACTGGGAGTGATCTTTCTTCAGAAGATTCAACTAATGTCTCAAGTTCGGCGACTTCGTTATCTATCCCACGCCTTCCAACACCTGGTATTTAGATTTCACGTAAAAGCTTACAAGGTGTAGACAGCGTTGTAAAGATTTTATTTGTTTTTTTTAGCTATTGGTCTGTATTCAAGTACAGGATTTGATATAATTGGAGTTTTGGTATGTATTTATTAGAGCATGCAATGTTGCTTGGTCTATATCCGAGTATTAACCGAATATTTCCTTAGGCTCGAGTCGATGCAAGGTAAATTTATTATGCATCTCATTTAATATAAACATGTTAAATATTGAAATTGATATTGCAACAAGCAGGAGGAAACGACAAATCACTATTGGTCCTGTTGATATGAGTTGTTCATTTTTAGTTGGTATGTTACACGGGATTCTAGACCTGGTTTCATATGCAAATTTATAATTTCCTTTTTGGGATTGTTTGTTTTTGAGATATTCACACGTTAGTAATTCAATTTAGTGGATGCTCGTAAATTTGACTTCCCTATCGTCTATGCTAGTCACACATTCGAAAGATTAACCGGGTATTCGTATTCGGAAATTATTGGTCGTAACTGCCGGTTTTTGCAAGCTCCCGATGGTCATGTCGCACTTGGTTCAAGACGTCGTTTTACAGATAACAGTTCTGTACATCATCTTAAAAATCAAATAATGGACGGAAAAGATTGTCAAATATCTATTATAAACTATAAAAAGGGTGGGCAGGTAAGTTTTTCTTTTCTCTTTAGCATTCATTGGAAGACTGATTTTAATATAATCTTTTATTTAGCCATTTCTTAATTTGATCACTGTTATTCCCATAACTTTGAGCGATGATGATGAAGAGATTATTTATTTTGTTGGCCTGCAAGTAGTAAGTGAATATACTGAATAATTACTGTATGGGTATAATAAGGAAACGTAAACGCGATGTTGGTCAAATTTCATTATCTTCCCATATAACCATTTAGGGATAAATAATTTTTTGACCATTTATGAAAATAATTTATATATGGGTTATAGGATATAGAGTTACATACTTCCAATACAGCAATCTTAACATAATTAATCACCTTTTTTCGTGAAGGACTTGGTAGAGCAGCCGACTGCTATTGCGGAGAGGATGAAGGACGGAACATATGTTGTTAATTATTCGATGAATATACAGCCATACATTCCTCCATCTAATGAACTAGCTAAAGATCAAAGTCTTGATTATTTTCGTGATGGTTCGTCAAGCGCTATGCCATTTCCAGCTTCTTCAGAGGTTTTTGAATTAATCGGTGGAAATACGGACGTCGAAACCGTTAAAGCATCATGGAATCGCATGTTGTTAGAACATTCGGTTGATTTTATTCATGTTCTCTCTTTAAAGGGCTTATTTCTTTATTGTTCAGCTGCTTGTAGAAGGATACTAGAATATGATCCAGATGAGCTTGTAGGAAGAAGTCTATCAACAATTTGTCACCCAAGTGATATAGTGTCTGTCATGCGAGAACTAAAGGAATGTTCAAATAGTACAGAGGACATAACTCTTGCGTATCGCATAAGGCGCAAGAATTCTGGTTATATATGGTTTGAAGCACATGGAAAATTACATTTAGAAAAAGGGAAGGGACGAAAATGTGTTATCCTTTCAGCACGTGAAAGACCCGTATATAAACTTCAGCAGAAATATTTACAAATCACCGAAGTGACTTATGAACAAGAGTTCTGGTCAAAATTATCAGTAGATGGTTTATTTCTTTATGTCTCCTCGACCTGTCAGAATCTTTTAGGGTTGACAGCTGAAGAATTAGTTGGAACTTCATTATATTATTATGTTAGATCCGATCGTACAACCGATATCTCTAGGGCATTGGCTCAAACAAATAACGGAATACCTAATAACCTTAGAAATCAGATTCAAAAAAAGAATGGACAGTATATAAATGTTTTATTGGCATTTTATCCGGGTGATTCAAGTCAAACAAACAATAAACCATCATTTATAATCTGCAAAATAAAAGAATCATCAAATTCTGATCCAGATCAACCTAGTTCGACCGGAAACCAAGGCGACGAGAACATTTTCGAAGAATTGAGTACAACTAAAGGTACCAGTTGGCAATATGAGTTGCATCAAATGAGATTAGCGAATAAAAGATTACGCGAAGAATTGGATGCCATCAAAAGTTCAAAAAAGAAAAGGGTAAGATACTCTTTAAGTACATTTATTCCTTCTGACATTAACTTTTCATAATAATTTGATAACAATAGAAGAAGCGTATGACGTCGTCTTCAAACAAGGTATGTGCCTATTGCCAACGGAGCGACTCACCAGAATGGCGGAAAGGACCTGATGGTCCAAAAACGCTGTGCAACTCTTGTGGTTTACGTACGTAAATTTGCTGGAGGTAACATAGATATCCCTGAAGGAGTAAGAAGGAAAAGAAAATAATATAACGCGGATATTCGACTTGACATTATGATTAAAATTATATATTGATTTTATTCTTTCCTTGTCTATTTAATATGTTCAGGCTATGCCAAGCAAATGAGTAAAGGTGATAGTGGATCCCCGCCACCAACGCAAAATAACGAATCAAACGCGGCGTAAATCGAAAGGTTGAACACCACAGATTTGGTTACTGCGTTCTTATTGGATCTGATCCTTGAAGCGAGTTTCTATGGAGTTATTGTCCGAAGCATAGCAGGACTGTTCATGGACAAACAATAGAGCAGAAAGTGATTATTTTTGCTTACGTGATTATTCATTTCTACTTATAATCAAATTGTCATTTATTTTTATTATAAACTTTGACAAAGTAAGGTTATACTTCTATTTTGAAAGGTTTTAATATGTAATTGGGTAGTTATTTTGAAAATTTAAGATTTAAATTTATTACCTTATAAATACAATCTTAAATTTTAGATCATAATATAAATCTTATGATATTGATTAATCATGTTGTTTTATTAAAAATCTATTTATTTAAATTTGAGTTTTAAATTTTTTAAAATTTTAAAATATTGATATTTTTATTAATACATAATAATATTATTTAATAAATAGGTATTTGTTTAAAGTTTATGTCAAAAATGTCAAAGGTTTTTATATAAATAAAATTTATTAATATTAAATAATTGGTTATCAAAAATAATTATATAATAATATTATTATTGAATTTTTAAAAAAATTTTATGGTTTTAATTTTTTAATAATAAATTTAAATAACAATATACATACATATATACAGTATATATTGTATATTAAGAAATAACTATGTAATGATATATTTTTTTGTTAATAATTATTTTTATTTATTTATTTTTTAACTTGACTAGCTAAATCCTACCTGGCATGCATTTTATTTAATTAATATATGTATTTATTATATATTACAAGAAATTATTACTTATAAACTATTTTAATACAATATTAAATTATATTGAATTTTATTTTATATTGACTTGTTACTATTGGTCTCATATCTGGAGATTTTGTTAATTAAAGCTATACATGTTGCTGAAATTCATAGATCCTTGATGCAATTGATACAATTATTTGATGCAATTAATTAAGTCACTATTAAAACATATAAATAATTAAGTCATGGCATAATTATTTTTAAGGATTTTGGAAATTAAGTCAATAGCAAATAATTTATACCATATGTATAATTAAAGCTAATATATCAAAGTACAATTATTATTATTATTATTATTATTATTGAGAACCAAAGTGCAATACATATATAAATTTTATTGTTAAATTACTTAAGACCACAATTATTTTATATATGAACAGTTTATTAACTATTGCTAATACTAGTTGAAATTAATTTATTTAACATAATACTACTCATCAATCATTTGTTAAAAAAGTATATAATTCAACTAATCAATTAAATTTATATAGCTTTTTCTTTGGCTATAAATCAGTGTATAATTTATTTGATATATAAATAATATACTTTTTTTTAAACCTTATTTCATCAGAAATTAATATTTTAACAGTAAAAGATATAATTTATTTTTTGTGCCAAATATATATATATATTTTGACTTTGTCAAGTTATATTATTTTGATAAATTATATTACTTTGATGAATTATATTATCTTGCCAAATATATATATATTGCTAAATTATATTACTGTCAAATTATATTATTTTGTCAAATTTATATATATTTTTGTCAAATTATATATGTTTCGACAAAATTTTATATATTGTATTTGCAATTTAAAGAAATAATAGTTAAATATTTACAAGAATTTTATTAATTTAAAATCTTATATTTAAATAAAATAAATCAATTAAAAATATTGTAAATAAAAATTATATATTCGTATCTAATTGGATAAAATTCAATATTCCATAGTTTAATATTTATATTATTTTTAAATTCAAAATAGAATCTGATATTTGACAAATTAATAGGTTTAAACTATTAAATAAAAATCAAATTATATTTTGTCATATTATTCAATAAGTTGATTAAATAAGTGAAGAAAAATTGAACTTGTTCCAGATATAAATCAATATTTCCATTATAATTTACAAATTAAACTAAAACAAATGAACCTTTTATATTTTATAGTAATATAACAAAATCAAAGATTTCATTTCTAATTTGATATTTTTCATATTTATCAAATTTATTTTGGACAATTATTGAATTATTATTAATATTTTCAATAAATAACCTTTGAAAGTTTATGGGTGTTTTTTTTTTTTTTTAAAGTTGAACGGCATTAGATGCAAGTCTTTATTGATACTAAACATATCTATACAATACATCAAATATCTTCTGTAACTGTTATACTACAGCTTAATGCTAGCCTATCAACTATTTTTGCCTGTTAATATTAATCTGATACTTTTGAAGTATTTTTCACATCTTTGGAGGACCTATCTAGGGGGAAATTCCTATGGCTAGTTTAAACCACCTAACCTACCAGTTCAATTTTATACGGAAACAATGGGATACTACTAACTATTCTCTATAAGTAACTTATCACTATACACCTTTTTGCTTACACAGCTAATGCAACAGAGGAACTTCATGTAGGTCTGCACTCCCTAGTGAATGCTCCAAACCTATTTTATTCTTTGATTGGTTACCTGCTACCAAACTTAGGGGTCCTTTTTGACCAATTGGGATGCAACTCTACAAGGACACATACAGGCCAGATGGATGGCTATCAACCACCCTGCTTCCAAGGTCCCTGTTTCCTAATAGACATATCCAGAGGGGCCGGTTGGCATTAGTTGCCAAATCTAGGGGCATGAATGCCAAGCAGTGTGCAACTCCTATAGACACAGTAAGCCACCAGAGGTCCATGTATACAAGATATTAGTGTCGGTTCAGCATGCTTCTTCAAAGTTGCCTTATTCAGAAATTAGCAGAATGGAATTTCTCGCTTGGGTTAGTTAAGATGGAGCACAGTCCAGTCTGTGCATCCAAATGTATGGTTGGTTCTTGGCTTCTGTTGAATAATTATCATACCACTTCCGGATGATCGTTCTGCTATGCACCTTTCTTGGAAATCACAATCCCAACATCTTACTGAATCAGCGTGCAAATGATTTCCTATGGAAAATAGGGCTTAACAGGTTATGGCCCCAGATACCATTCTTAATTCGGTTCAACTGCCTTTACCTGGAGTTGAACTGGTATCTTGTGATCTGACCTGTGGAGTGTTAACCACTATACTATAGACCCACAGGTCTTTATCTTTGACTATAAAGCAGCATATAATTTATTTAATATATAAATAATATATTTTTTTAAAAACTTCATTTAATATTTCAACAATAAAATAAATAATTTATTTTTAGTATCAAATATATTGTATATATATATTTTGACTTTGCTAAATTATATTACTTTGACAAATTATATTGCTTTGACAAATTATATTATCTTACCAAATATATATTGCTAAATTATATTACTTTGTCAAATCATATTACCTTATCAAGATTTGTGAGTCTATAGCACAGTAGTTAGTGCTCTATAGGTCAAATCATAAAATAATGATTCAAATCCTTCAAAAGACTAATGTGAAACCTTTGAAAAAACCAAAAAAGAAAAAATCAATATCTTCTGATTACTATTACAAAATATTAAGTTCAATTTCAGGTAAAAGCAATTGGATTATCTCAATATAATATCTGGTACCATAATCTAATATATGCGGTTTTCTATAAGAAGCCAATTCATATTAACAATGGACATTAGAATTGTGATATCAAGAAAGATGTAGTAGTGTAATAATCATCTGACAGTATTACAATAATCATTATTAAGTTTGATACTTTCTTTGTTTTTTATATATAGAGCATACTTTTTTATTCCTTTAATCCATGAAACTATAAAAAAAATTCAATTTTTCAAAAGACTTAACTAAAGTTACAAAAACTTCTTGTCAAATATAACTAGTTTGCAGCTGATCATATTAGGATATGGTTCTTCAAGTTTTCATTCATCGGATGATGGATAGGATTAGAAGGCATACAATATATTCTAATATATTAGTACTCTACTTATGCAATTAGGATTCTGAGGCTAATAATATAGAAAAAATAAAGAGCAATAAGTTAACTGATAGATAAGGTTAATCCAAATCTTAGATAGTTCTACTTGGAAATTAGTGGTAGAAAATTTGTATAATATGAATTTATATATACTACATAAGAAAATCTCATAAAACAAGATGTACACCAGTTATAGAAAAAAAAAAAAACTATATTATCTTGCCAAATTTATATATACATATATTTTGTCAAATTATATTATCTTGCTGAATTATATATGCTTCGATAAAATTTTATATATTGTATTTGTAATTTAAAGGAATAATAGCTAAATATTTATAAGAATCTTGTTGATTTGAAATCTTATATTTAAATGGAATAAATTGACTAAAAATATTGTAAATAAGAATTATATATTTACATCTAATCAAATAAAATTTAATATTCATTTGCATCATTTTTGGATCCAAAATAGAACCTGATATTTGTCAAATTAACAGGTTTAAACCATCAAATAAAAGCCAAATTGTGTTTTGTCACATTATTTAATAAGTTAACTGAATGAATAAAAAAAAATTGAACTTGTTTCAGGTATAAATTAACATTTTCATCATGATTTACAAATCGGATTAAAACAAATAAACCTTTTATATTTTATAGTAATATTATGGAATCAAAGATTTTACTTTCAATTTGATATTTTCTATATTAATTGACTCTATTTTAAACAATTATTGAATTATTATTAATATCTTCAATAAATAGTCTTTGAAAGTTTATAGTTTTTTTTTAAAATGTTAAGTGAGGCATTTCTCGTAATCTTTATTAATTGAGTAAAATGTTACATAATTAATGTTTAGATTGTAAGATACATTACTATACATGTTAGCCTACC